CTCCCTCCCTCCCTCCCCACCCCCCACACGAGCCAGCCGGCATTCACCCAGTTGCCGCCTCTCTCACTGCACACACATCTGCATGAGAAAGGGCACACCACACACCCACACCAACACAGTCAGCTCAGCAGCGACAAAGCCACCCCACCGCCAAGTAAGTAATCGCTCGCTCTCATCTCTTCTCTCTGCCTTCTGCCGATGAACGAACTCAGAACTCGTCTCTCCCCATTCATCCCAAGTGCACTCAGACTTGCCTGCCAAAAAAGGCCCCCTGCCTGGCCGCCAGGCAACGAGTCACATGATCACATCACATTACCGCTGTAAAAGACAGTCAGTCAGTCAGTCAGTCAGAAGTCAAGTGGCTAGGCAGGAAGGAAGCATGCAGGCAGGCAGGCAAGCTAAAAATGACTCGAAATACACCCATGGCGCAGGCAGGCATGGGCCCGTGCCTCCCTCCCCCTTTCCCACCCTCCCTCCCTCCCTCCCTCTCTCACACACATACAGGCGTACAGACAGGCATAGGTGTGCTGACGGGCAGACAGGTCGAGCACTCTCGACTCTCCTTCCCTCTCTCTTCAACATCCATCCATCCATCCATCCATACCATCCATGCCTCCATCGCCTCAGGCAAAAAAAAACAGCTTTCACCCTTAGAGAGAGAGAGACCACCGCCACTCGTCCATCCATCCATCCATCCATCGATGCATCATCTTTGTAATAAGGACAAAGTCATTCAGGACGGCCGGCCGAAGGGGCCGGGGGCATTGGCGCTGCCGTTCGTGTTGGCGTCGGGATTGAAATTGGACTGCAATCCACACACCACACACCACACACCCACATGCACAAATGCACACACATGCCTCTCTCTCTGTCTGCATGAGCATGCTCCACTCACCGCCGTGAGGTTGATGGCGAAGGAGGCGTTGATGCTGCTGGCCATACTGCTGTCGACCCCCGCGCCATGCAGCTGCTGGAGCCGCTGGTGCATGTCTGGCTCGGTGGGCGGCTCGGTCCTGGTGGCGGGGACCAGGCGATCGGTGGGCAGCTTGAGGTAGCCCTTCTTGGGGAGGTCGCCGACGGAAGTGACGAGCTCCTGTGTGTGGCGCTGGGAGGCCACGGCCGCCTCCTGCCATATGGAGGCCACATCCTGACTCGTCGGGCTGCGGCCAGACGCTGGGATGCTCTGCACACATGGGAGCAACAAACAGACAGAGAGAGAGAGAAAAAGAGGTTTGTAATTACTGCCCGGACGGATGCGCATCCAAGCGCCCGAGCTGTTAAGGGCGGGTCAGGCAGCTTCTTACCCCATCCGTCATGACGCTCCCTGGGCGGCTTTGCTGACCACACAGAAGGAGAGAGACAGGCAGAGGAAATTGCAGACAGACGCAATCGATGCACTTGTGTGTGATAGAGATGGCGTACCGGTATGTTAGACAGCACGGCGAACTGTGAGAGCCCCCGTGGCTCCGTCATTTCCGTGTCACCAGAGGCTCGGCGCTCAGGCAGGTCGCCCGACGCCTTGCGGAGAGCCTCCGCCTGCCCTTGCGACACCGGCGACGCCCCGCTGTCCGCAGACTGGGCACGCTGGCCGATGAAGGATTGGGAGGGGAGATGGAGGAGAGGGGCGAGAGAAGTCCACGTCTGTCTGTCTGTCTGTTGTGCCCGTGGGTACCTACCTCTTTGCTTGGCTGCTTCATGGCGACAGAGTGGTCGGATGACGGCCGTGCGATGGGAGTCGGGGAGGGCTTCGGGCCGCCGTCCTGCGCCCCCACACACCACCCCACACAACACAACACACCACATCATTCACTCGTTCACGCCTCACACACACACACACGAATTCCTCACTCACTCACCGCCGAAGGCGAGACGGCCCCTCCCTCTTCAGAAGAATAAGTGGGCACCGCTGTGTGGTACCCCGTGGCGCCAGGCTCGCTGGCCTGTGACGCCCCACCACCACCACCACCACTGGCTCCCTCGTGTGCAGCGGTCCACTCGCGCCTCATACTGCTGTAGTTGCTGGCGCTGTAGTTCTCGGAGTTCTCCTCCTCGATGGTCGGCGGCACGGGCGGGGCGGGAGTGATGCGCATCCGGGACGCCGGCTGCACACACATGGAGGTCGGCATGGCTATCGGTGTGTGTGTGTGTGCTGTGCTGTGCAGTGCTGTGTGTGGCGGACCATTGAGTCAGGCCCCTGTGGGTACGGCGCTTGGGAGAGGACTTCGCGCATCATCTTGGTGGTGATGGTCGGCACACGGACATTCATCTGAGCGAGCAGACAAGGAACAGACAAGCGGTACCTACTGCGTGTCCGTCAGGTCCTCTCTGCCTGTGTTGTTGCGTACTCCTGTGGACTGCGGCGGGTTTGTTCTGAGCTGCGCCTCCCTGGCGTTGAGTTCCTCCAGCCCCCCGGGGCGGCTCTCAGCCTCAGACACAGACCCATATAACGCCTAAACACACACACACATCCATCCATCCATGCCGCCCCTACGCCACACCACACCACGCCACACCACACACAGACAGCTGTACCTGCAGTCTGGGTGTGATCTGGTCGAAGGTGGGTCTGGTTTCAGGGTCGTCCGCCCAGGACTCCTGCATGATGGCCTCGAGGGCCTTGGGGCAGCCAGGGGGCAGCTGCCACGCGAAGGAGGGACGGTTCTTGACGTCACCAAACTGACCGGCCACACGCTGACGTACGGACAGATGCGCACACGTGATGTGATGTCACCGACAGACACACAAAGGGCATAAGTGAGTGCGGTGTCTGAAGGTGTCTGAGGTGTCTGAGGTGTCTGTGCTTCACTGACGGGCATGGCTCCCTGCACCGGGGGGTATGTGGGAGTGGTGGGGCGGCCGCCCATCAGCACAAAGGGGGCGATCTTGGTCTCGCTGCACAATGAGAGAGAATGGGACGGACGGACCATTCTGCCTCTGTGTGTGTATGTGTGTGTGTGTGTCATGTGGCTCGCCTACTCGAGGTCTGGGTAGGGTACCCTCCGAGCAGCCACCTCGTACATCAACACACCTGCACAGACACACGCAGCCAAACACAACGAAGAGTGTGTCTGTGCGGTCTCTGTATGTGTGTGTTTTTCCCTAACCGAATGAGTACACGTCAGCCCGCTTAAGGGTCTGTATTGTCGCCCAGCGGCCCTTCTCCCTGACACACCGACACACACACACACATCCACAAGAGCGACACAAGCAATGCCGCTCCCTCCCAGATGTCCACCCCACCGCACCTTCTCTTGAGCCGCTCCATCATCTCAGGAGGCGCCCCTGAACCAAGATACACACACGCACTCTCGCCCTCGCCCTTGCCCTCATCGATTCCGCTGTTTGCTCACATCTGACGGTCCATCCGACGAGCGAGAGGACCTGTTGGGTCTGCTGGGCCTTGACGCGCGAGAAGCCAAAGTCGCTCAGCTTGACGCCGCGCTGGCCGTCCTCGTAATTCAGCAACACATTGGCGCTCTTCAGATCGCCGTGAACCGTACCCTTCTTGGTACCTGTCCACACACAACACACACACACACACACACACACACGCACACGCACACGCACACGCGCGCGCGCGCCATGGAATGGTGTGCGGTTTGCTGCAGCCCATGGAGCGTGTGTGTGTATCCTTTGCTGACTGACTGACAGACTGACTGACTGACCAGGGCCCTCCTTGTGGAGGTACTGCAGCGCCCCCGCGATGCCGACGAGGATGCGCATCTTCTCGGTCCACGAGAGGTCCTCATCCTTCTTCTGCTTGTGCAGCAGGTGGTACAGAGACCCGCCGTTGGCGTACTGCATCACTATCAGATAAGGGGCACGGGGGTGGCATCCTGGTAACACACACACACACACACACGTACAGAGAGAGAGAGAGAGGGAGAGAGGGAGAGAGGGATGTGCTGCGGTGGGTGTGTGTGTGAGTGCAGTGCGCTGACCGAAGTAGGTAATGATGTTGGGATGCCTGAGGGCCTCGAGGGCGCTCACCTCCGACACGAACACCTTGCGAAGGTTGCCCCCCTCGATCAGCTGGGTGGGGAACTTCTTGATGGCTACCTGCACATCACCATCACCATCCACACACACACACACACCGTGACGGCACGACCCCCACATAGGAACAGACAGACAGACAGACAGACAGAGGGCAGGGGATGCTGTCTGTCCCACCTTTGTGCCGTGCCAAGTGCCTCTGAAGACTGAGCACGTGGCGCCTGAGCCGATGGTCTCCTCCTCCTTCCACCCACACACCAAATCAGTCGGCAAAATCTGACACACGCCATCACACACACACACACACACGAATGGTCAGAATTTGTGGCTCTGACAGCGACAGCGACCTGAGCTGACTGACCTCGGTGAAGTCCACAGGGAAGGACTGTTTCCTCTGCGCCATGCCGCTGCTGCTCTCGGTGCTGGTCTCCCCGCCCAGCAGCCCCTTGCCGTTGCCGCTCTCTATGTCCCCACTCTCTCCCTCAGTCGTCCCCTCCTTCCTCGGGGTGGGCTCGGCGGTCGACGGCTGCCAGCTGCCCATGTGCTGCCCGTGCAGCATGCCGTTCTCCATCCCTTTGCCCCCATTCATGCGACTCTTGAGCAGCGCCAGCCCGCGCTTGACCCTCTCCTTCTCGTCAACCACCTTGTCCTTGCCATTGGTGGCCATCGAGTCCTCCGGGTGGAGAGCGTGGGGCGGTGTGGCGCCCTGACCGCTCCCCCATGTGTGTTTGGGTTTGCACGGCAGGCGGCCGCATTTCCACAAAATGATGAGCAGCAGCAGAGAGAGCAGCACCGCCACCACCACCACCACCACTGCCACAATGATGATGGTCGTCGAGGAGTCGCCGCCGCCCAATGCCGCCGCGGAACACTGCACGCCACGCATCACCAGACAGACAGACAGACAGACAGCCAGAAGGATGTGTGTGGCTGCATGTGTGAATTCGACCAACGACTGACTGACCTCGGTAGCATTGGGTCCCCTGGAGGTCTGTCCTTCAGGGCATGGCTCGCAGCGACCCGACAGCTGCCGCGTGCCGGACGGACAGCCAGCACTGCAGTAACGAAGACACACACGGACCAACACACAAACGAGCCAATGACCGTCCAAGAACTAGCAGACACACAGGGGTGTGTGTGTGTGTGTGTTTGCCTACCGGAATTGCCATGTGGGCGCCGGCTGCACGCCAGACTTGACCCGAGCTTGCTGGTGGGTGACACAGACACGAAGTAGGCAATTAATATCACACACACACACAGACAGAGAGAGCGAGAGAGAGAGATGCAGCCAGTATCTCTGAGGCAAGTCGTGCCGGCCACGTACGGCCGTACCCATAACGGCAGCACCGCCCCAAAGCCCTCATACTCTTCCAACCACTGCACCACAGAATACAGCGAGCGGCAGGCAGGCAGGCCACACACACATCCAAACATCCAAACCAATGAATGCGCAACACAATGAATGGCTAAATGGCATTCAGCATAATGTAATTGATGTCCCTACCTGCAGTACTGCGGGCTCGCGGCCCGTGTTCTGCTGCCCCGAGAGATCAAGACGCCCGAAGAATGTGTTGTCTGCCTCCTCAAATTTCTCCAATGACCCTGCAGGCCAGGCCAGGCGGACATGCCCACCTACTTACTGGGTCGCTCCTTGTTTCCATTGTCACTCACTCACCGAGTGCCTCTCTAAGTGCCCCGCTGTTGGTCTCCCTGTCGTCAGTCCACTCGTCGGGCCCCATCGACTCGAGTGCCAGTTGCAGCGCCAGCCCGGCTGCGGCACACGACGCGACGTTTTCGTTGGGCTGACGGCCATGTTTGGCCGCGAAGCCTTCGGAGAACTCTTCAGACGACCCTGCATGGCGACACAGACAGACAGACAGACAGACAGAGAGGGACGGAGGGAGGGAGGGAGGGAGGGAGGGAGGGAAAGGGTCAGAGTGCATGTGGGTTATGTATGTGCACATACCGAATAAGGATGGGGGGTCGCTGTTGAATACTAGTGTGGGGTGCCACTGTGCCGGCGTCAGCAGATAAGCCAGGTCGCGGCCAAACCGCTCCAAGAACTCTGCCGTCATTGGCAAGGACGACTGGACAGACGTACGACCACACACACAGACACCATCCTGTGCGTGTTGAGGCTCTCTGTCTGTCTGGCTGGCTGCTGTGCCCCGCCCTCCCCTGACCCACCACCGCCACTATTTGAAAGTCCTGTTTAGCTTCGATGACGGCCTCGGTGAACGCCTCGCCGCCCTCGGGTGAGACACAGGCGAACACCGCCTGCACCTCGTCGTTGTCAGCGGCGTTGCGGAGGAACTCGGCGATTTGCGACACGGTCTTGTTGTCTGTGGTTGTCGCGCCGTCTAGTGAGAGCTCTGATGAGATGTTCAAGTTGAAGGAGGACGCGTGGTCCCTCGCGCCGTCACATATGGCCTCTGTGTGTGTTGGGGAGAGAAGGGGACAGGGAGGGACAGACACTCGTCGGGCTGTGTCATGGCTTATGATTGTGTGTGGTGTGGTGGAGTACCTACCTGCTGTCGGGTCCGTGGTGTCGACGACCAGCGCTATCTTTGAGATCCGCTGCAGATGGGCGTCTCTCAGCAGACCTGATCGAGATATTGATAATGACGGTCACAGACAATCTCTCTCTCTCTCTCTCTCCAGATCTGTGTGCGTTGTGTGTGTGTGACCTGCATAGTAGTCTTGGGCGGGCAGCTGTATGCCGAAGCTGTACTGAAGGTCGGTGGGGAAGAACGGACCCGAGCAGTGCAGATTCACCTGATTGATTCATGTGTGTGAGTGAGGGGAGGGGGGGGGGGG